AATAAATAAATTAAATAATTTTTTGATAAAAAATGTGAAAAGTAAAATAAAGCCGCAGGAGCAGTAAAGTAGTACTAGTGAAAAAAAAGGGTTTGGAGGTTATAGTAGGGTGCAAATATAGGGTTGTTGAAATAAAAGAAAAAGGGGAGACAGGGTTTTCTTTTGGGGGTGTGGGTTTTTGTTGCTGGTTGGTTTTGAGTCTGATTTGCCTTTCCCCATCTCTTCATTTGCTAAATTATTGTGATTGAAAACTATAAAAAGAAGAGCGAAGACATTCTGTTTCCCACCCAAATTCACCAAGTTTATTTATTCATTTATTTATTTGTGATTTAAGTGACTTTATTTTTTTTAATTTTTATTTTTTGAAAAATCATACAAACAATCAATGACAATGCCTTAATACAACCATCAAAAGATCTTACCAATTAAATTGGCAGATTCACTTTCCATTGTTAATTTTAATAAACTGAGTTTATAGTTGAAATGAGGCTATCAAACCCCTAGATAATAAGATTATTGTTTCTAATGTTTGTACTTTGTATAATCTTACCCTCACCCCCAAAAATTTCCAATGTTTCAAGCAAAAAAAAAAAAAAAAAAGTCATAAACACTAAAACCATAGAGAATGGGCTAGAGATGTAGGCCGGCCCATTTTAAATAGTATTAGATTGAATTAAGTGCGTCTCAGGCTTTGGTAGTTTGGTTGAACATGGGCCAAATTTTAATTGCGTTTCGGGCTTTGCTTAGCTCCTAGATAGAGAAAACTGGGCCGGAACAACTACCATGGCTGAGCCGACTTATTTGGTCCAATAATAAAAAAAAGGAGCGGCTGGTCCACCGGCCCAGAAAGATCCGAGTATATTCTCAATATGGTCCGAAAAAGAACCAGTTAACCGAGTCATTGCTTGCGTCAGCCAATTGTGAACCGATTCCGGCCAATGATTTAGCTCCACGTGTACGATGACTTAGAGTCCAAAATAATCTAAGAGTAGGAGTACTTCTTCTTCCTGTGAACATATAATCTTGAAAATTAAGCAAAGCCAGTTGTATTTCTCGATCACGCCACGACCTCCTGCCGTTCCGATTAGGAAAAAAGTTTTCTTCTTTGCTCTGCTTTTCGTGTTCATCTTCACAAGGTTTGTCTTCTGGGTTTTCTTTCTTCTTCCCCATTCCCTTCAAGTCTTCTCTCAAAATTTCATCTTTTTTATTTTATTTTGTTTGATTATGATTTCCTGGCACCCTACTGCATAATCTGTTCAAACTAGTAAGGAATTGCAGCTCTCTGTACTTTTAAGTTCTTCTTAATTCAATCTGAAATATTTAGGTTTCTTGTTGTAAAAAGAAAATTACTCTAGTTTTTGTGAAGGGATAAACTTTGTGATATGGGGCAATTGTTGTTTGGGGTTTTTTTTTGGTTGTGTATCGGGTTAAAGCTATTATATGGTATGAATGTTAAGGTAAAAGGACAATTTTTTTTAATACCATCGTGAATTTTGGACTCTTATGTTTGTTCTTGTATGCCTTAAGGAGTTTCAAGTTATTTACTTGTTTTGGTTGCTGGTTTTCAGGAGCAATGGCCAAGAGTTACTTCAAGCAAGAGCATGATCTTGGTTTGTAGCATCATCTTTGTTCTTTTTTCAAAGGACTTATTTTTAAGTCTTTGTTTTGCATTGTTAGTCAACTATGGGTATTGGGTTTGTTCATGTGTCTGCGTTGTGTTTACATATGTTTATTAGTCTCTCTTGTAGAAGGCATATCAATGGTGTGTATAGAGGGTTTATATATATATATATATACTTTGTTTGTTTCTGGTTTCAGAGAAGAGACGTGCAGAGGCTGCTAGGATTAGGGAGAAATACCCAGATAGGATTCCGGTAAGGGATTGAACTTTTACTTTGCAATTTTTATAATATGTCTTGTCTAGGCTACGTATCTCCATATGTTCTTCGTTTTGTTCCCAAACTAACTTGTTCTGGTTTCTTGCTTGTGTAAATTGAAGGTGATTGTGGAGAAGGCAGAGAGAAGTGATGTACCAAGCATAGACAAGAAAAAGTAAGCAATGCTTTATATTTATAAACTCTGGATCTTTTGTGTCTCTTCTATGCCTATTTTTCTTCATGTTCAATGCATTCTCTTCCCACTAAATTGCACAATTGATCTAAACAAATTCTTTGTGGTTGTGATGAAACATATCTCATGGTCAAAGGATATCATAACATGTAATGGTGATATAGTACAATGGTGATATAAACTGTGCTATGTCCTTTCTGTCCTGTGTTAATTTTGAAGATACCGTGTCCACCTTCTGTTCTTCGTCGGTTTATTTGGCTCAGCTGATGATAGTGTAATTGTGGTTTTGTTGTTAAATGCTTTTAACTAGGCTAATCTAAGTTCCTTGAGGATTGTAGTTGCTAATTGGTGATATGGTTATGAAAATTACAGGTACCTTGTCCCAACTGACTTGACTGTAGGACAGTTTGTTTATGTGATCCGCAAAAGGATCAAACTGAGTGCAGAGAAGGCAATCTTCATATTTGTGGACAATGTTCTTCCACCAACTGGTAATCCCTTGCAAGTTCACTCTATCATTTGTTTCTGTTTGAAAAGGGGGCAGCTTTTCACATATTTTGTGTTTACAGGTGCCATTTTGTCTTCCATATATGAAGAGAAGAAGGATGAAGATGGATTTCTTTATGTTACTTACAGCGGAGAGAACACATTTGGGGAGCAGATTCTGCTGTAACCTTTGGTGGATCATTTCAGCATTCCTGTATTCACCCCTTAAGCATCATTGTGCATATGATCCTTAATTGCAATCTCGAATTCTCCATTACTGTGGATTGTGGCAGTCATTTGGTTATTGTCTTATTTAAAGACCTGCTGGTGATATAATTGTACAGTTACATAACCTTAAGTTATCGTCTTCATAGTTCTTGGCTTTAGTAGTTGATTTTTCATTTTAATTGCAAAGTAGTATTGCTGATAATCAAAGGCTCCTGGTAGCAATTTCCTAGGGCTGTACCAACCCCAGGAAGTTTGTTGGGCCTTAAAAAAATGAAGTGGTGCTTCTGGTTCTGCTTGTCAACCTTGGATCCACCACCGGGGATGCCCAAGCCTATGGAGTTCATTGGGCCTTGCCCAGCAATTTTGGGCTCCATAGTTGGATGCGGGCCACCAGGTCTATTTCTAGGTTATATTTTCCAATTTGCCTTAATGTAGATTCTTGCTTGGTCTTCTTAGAGTTCTTAGAGTACTAATATGGTTAAATTTAATAAATAGTTTATTAATTATGTAGTTTATTTTAATTTAGTCTAAAAATATCTTTTTTTTCAAAATGATTTATAAATTATTAATTTTGTCTCAAAATGGTTTACTTGACAAATATTATGTTAATTAGATCAACAAAAAGAGTGGGGGAGTAGACAAGTTGCCCTTTAAATTTTTGAAAAATGTTAAATATAATACATATATTTTTATTTTTTTACAACATTTTATTTTTGAAATTTAAATTTGTTGTCGAATGTGATAATTAACTAAGATGAAATTTCAATTTTTATTAAATAAAATTTTAATTTTAATTTACAATAATTAATATTATAATTTAAATTTTATTATTTTTAAAAAACTTAATGTCA